CTCATTTAAAGAGTGGTAAGGCAGCTGGACCTGACAACGTTGTGATTGAAATGATAAAATGTTCTCAGGTCGAGTTAATGCCCTTCCTACGGAAATGTTTCAATTCTATATTTGACAAAGGTGTATTTCCAGATAACTGGTCTCGTTCAATTATTGTTCCATTACATAAAAAAGGAGCTTTAGACAACCCGGATAACTATAGAGGTATATCGTTAATGAGTATTTTAGGCAAGGTATTTACAACCATATTAAATAACAGAATTTCAAATTGGTCAAATATGAGAAACCTGATTCCCAGAATGCCAAGCCGGTTTTAGGAAAGAATATTCAACTGCAGATCATATTTTCACATTATATGCCATAATCCAAAATGTCTTTCACGAAGTAAGCACAAATTATATGTTGCTTTGTTGATTTCAAGAAAGCTTTTTGACTCTGTAGATCGTTCCAAATTGTGGTATTGTTTAAAAAAATCTGGTTTACAAGGAAAAATGTATAATATTCTAAAGTCAATGTATTCTAACATAAAATCGTGTGTACGTTGTGGTAATGATGTAACCGACTTCTTTGATTGTCCCATAGGGTTACGACAGGGCTGTATCTTAAGTCCAATGTTGTTTTCTTTCTTTATAAGTGAACTGTATTACGATATTACAATCTCTGGTAAACACGGCGTTCAAATGTTTCCTGATATGCTTGAAATTTTCATCCTACTTTTTGCTGATGATGTGATCTTGGTGTCCGATACTATTATTGGCTTACAAAATCAACTCAATATCTTAGAACGTTACACTAACGACTGGAAACTGTTTGTTAATTTCGAGAAAACAAATATTGTAATCTTCAGAAGAGGCGGTCCCGTCGCTTCAAAAGGGAAATGGTTTTTCAATGGCAAGTTACTGACTATCGCTAATCACTATACCTACCTTGGTCTTATGTTTTCTCACACGATGAATTTTAAAAAAAGTGTTCTTTATTTGCAATCACGTGCAAAGAAGGCTTTCATAAATGTTATGTCTGTTTCTCAGAATATAGGTGCCTTCACTCCAAACATATTTTTCAAACTATTTGATTCACAAATTCAACCGATTATGCTTTATGGGTCAGAAGTTTGGGGGTTTCAGCGTCAAGAATGTCTTGAGAAACTTCATCTCTTAGCTTGTAAAAGATTTCTAAATGTTGGACAAGCAACGCCAAATTGTATGGTTTATGGGGAATGTGGGAGATTTCCAGTTTATATAAATTCACAAATCAGATGTTTGAAGTATTGGCTTAAGATTCTGGAAATGCATGAACAACGAATACCTAAAATAGCTTATAATATGCTTGTTCATCTTGATAGCATGGACAAGACAACTTGGGCTTCACATATTAGAAATCTTTTATTTTCCCATGGCTTTGGATTTGCATGGTTAAATCAGACAGTGGGTAATGTAACTCTGTTTCTTAAACGTTTCCGAGAACAGTCAATTAATATGTTCTATCAAGAATGGCATTCGACTCTCGAAAATAGTTCAAGGTATGATCTATATAGGTCCTTTAAGAGCCTTATCCAACCAGAAATATATTTATCTGTATTGACATCAAGAAATATCAGACGCATTTTTTGTTCAGCTCCGACTAGGTTTATTAGATTTAAGTATTAATAAAGGTAGAAGATTGTCTATAGACAGAAATATGAGAATTTGTCCATTATGCACTTCATCTATTGAAGATGAAATTCATTTTATATTTGTATGTCCATATTATGATGATCTTAGAAGAAAATATATTTCAAGTAATTATCTATCAAAATATCCAACAATAGCCTTTGTCTCAATTCTCACTTCCAGAAATGAAACTGTTATCCGCAACCTTTCTCTATTTGTAAAACATGCTGTTGTCTTGAGAAATGATAGGTTATCTAAGCAATAACCATTATAATTGCCATTGTATTATGTACTGTAATTATGTATATGTCTGTAACTCCTTGTATATGGGCCGGAGGCCTTGAATACAATAAACTTGACTTGACTTGACTTGACGTTTAATTCTAGCCGACCTCTACAAATCTCAAACATACAAAAATGTTTCTTGCATATTTTGTTTCCTGAAGTTTAATTTGTGATGCATGTCATTGCTAGTCAGCTAGGCTGTTCCATTTGTCCGAACCACAACATACGGAGACAGATCATTTAGCAGACCGGGTGCTGTACTCTGGAATTGATTACTTGAAAATGTCAGAAAATCGGAAAATATCAACAGTTTCCGATCTTGTCTCAAAACCACCCTCTTCAAAGGAGCATTCGACTAAGTGCACATGAGCAGGACTCTGGATATGTAGCGCTATACAAATGTCTAATTTGATTTGATTTGATTTGATATACCCGTTAGAAACCCACCCCCACCCCACTTTATATTTATACATATCAAAACCTCAAAAGATATTTGCGAAAAGACATGATACAGAGGACAGTAAGAGATTTTATATCGATTATATATCAGGACGAATATCATTTTCGTCATTTGGCTAAGATTTGTCAATTCTTTCTTGGGTATGGCGCTAACAATCTTTATATTGGCAAAACCCTCAGATTTTTGCTGTGACATTGAAAATTATCTCAAGGTCACCCCATTTCACTTGTGTCGGTGAATCTCGCCAATATACCTTGGTACCAAATTTGAACAAAATCCATCATTTCTTTCTTGAGTTATCGCCCTAACAAGCTTATTTGATGTATGAAATGCAACGAAAAACAAACACCCGCGTATTTACAAGTGATTAAAACTGTTATTACAATTTACGTAAATATTTATTACATTTTACCGCAACGAAAATTATTACAATTTACGTCAATTTTTATTACAATTTGCGTATTACAATTTACGTCAATTTTTATTACAATTTACGTTTTTATTACAATTTACGTCAAGTTTATTACAATTTGCTGCAAGTATTACAATTTGCGTTTTTATTACAATTTACGTCGTAACAAGGCTCCCCGTCATCACTGTATTTGGAAGGTGGCTTCTCAGAAGCAACGTGACGTCATAACATTGCCATGATTAAATGTCACCATGACAAAGTGATATTTTACCCGGTGCATATCGTATGAAAACAAATGACCGTCGATATGTTTGCCCTCGTAGGTTATAAGCATTGTCATTATCATACTTTGAGGATAATGTCACCCTTTGATTTGTTTCTTGTATTTTACGCAGGGAAACTAATGGTTTCCTTGGTACCTATAACAATTAAGTTGTCGACTTACATTGTGTACCTTATAGTAAGTTTGGCTTTACATTGATAACGAGCACATATGATCGATTCCTTGAAACAAATGATACAATTCAATAGCATTTCTACGTTATATTTTAAATGTATCAATCAAATACAACAAATGGATAGACAGATTGACTGCAAGAATAACCAGGCGCCAGCGATTCATGATATCCTCAGCAAATGTAATATACAATTCCCTGTCATCCAGTGTATCCATTACCAAATCATGATCTGTAGGAAAGCCTGTGAAGTTATTCTATCACTTCCCTAATTCACAGAGATGGGTTGGAATAGAGCAAAGGTTCACAACCCTTGTTGATATCTTTGGATTCCCTTCCTGAAGCCTGTCTTGCACTTATTACATGCTCATGTCAAACAAAAGGTCGAAACTTGCGCTGAAAAAGCAGGAGATCAAACCTTCTTTGACTGCTACGCGTGGCTGCACGAGGTCTGGTGATGACGAAAGTTGTTTCAATGACAATTCTGATGTGTAGTAAAGTTTACTGATGAAGTGTCATGAATCAAAGCCAAGTCACATTTGTATGTTTCAGCATCTATATTGTGTTGAGGAGTGTTTGTTCAAGTTTCATTGATTATACGTATCGTTTTCATCCGAAATGATTAAAAATAGAAATATTCATGAAATATATATGTTGTTGTGTATTGGTATAATTTTGAATACTATTTGTTACTCCACAGTCGCAATACCGTCAATCCGCACAAAGCAGCTATTTTGGGGGCCATTTTGTTTTTCAATTTCAAGGAACATAAACAAGTCTTTTAAGTTGTTATCCTATTTTTTCGTGATCAGCACCCTTTAAGTGTATAAAAAAAATCGGGTTTAAAAAAATTAGAAAATAGATATATAGTCACAGGTGATGACATACCGTGCACACCCACCATTACTTGCAGTGATTATCGCGGCAATTTTGTTTTTCAATTTTGAGGGTCCAGAAAACATTTTTCAGCTTGGAATCCTTTTTATTCATGATCAGCACTCTTTAAATGTCTTAAAACATCATCTAAACTAATTACCAACTAAAACGTTTTGTTAACTCATTCCTAATAATATCTGAAAATTTGAATGAAATACATTTAAAAAATAGTTTTGGAATGAAGAATGTTTTTAACCAAATCCAATTTAATTATTGTTTTTAATTAAAGGCAGTTCTATCTATACCTTGTGGTGACAACAATATTAACATTTTAATTATACAGTGGTAATTTATATTTCACAATACATGTATACCAATTTAAGCATTCAGTATTTCTTCACCAAAAAGGTGATTTGGTGGCCATTTTGCTTTTCAATTTTGACCTTGATAAACAATTTTTTCAGCTGGTATCCTAATTTTTCGTGATCAGCACCCTTTAAATGTAAAACAGAGTCTGGAAAATTGGTTAAGTTCAGTTAAAAGTATTTGTCTTTAAACAATTTAATTTTTAAAGTTGGCAAGTTTGTTTTGGACGTTAGTTTATATACCAGGTTCACTCACTCAATCGCTTATACATATCCGAGGGAGATCTAGAATAGTATTTGATCAAAAAGGATTTTGCAACAAAGCACGCCTCGACATTTCTATTGGGAAGTCAATGTCAGTTCAAAGGTTTACCATTCCTGTTCTTATAAAAACTTTAGGTAGTTGTCATGTTGCATATATTATGATACACATAAAGAGCATTCTTTGTTCATGCAATTACCTCTATAAGATATGACTGTGTGTTGAATGAGTCATCTGAAACGTCATGTTGTATGTTTTCAGGACTGAGCCTCAATATCGGCAACATAACTATTAAAAAAGGAATTCCATCAAGACAGCCTGCTCAGGAAACGGCAGGTAATAGTTTCATGTTTAAAGCACCACATATAAATCTTGCCACTTACTTCAAATCCATAGGAATAACATTTGATCAAAATGGACTTTGTAAGAAAACATGCCTCAACACCAAACACACTTCCATTGGGAAGGAAATTTAATTCCCCATTCCAAAGTCCCAAACGTTTCCACGACATATTATTTGTATCAAACCGGATATCGATGACTTCGAATCCTGTTTTTTATATAAAATCTTTAGGTAGTTGTCATGTTGCATATATACAGTATATTATTCTTCGCATAAAGAGCATTCATTGTTCATGCAATTACCTCTATAAATAGTATTCACAATGGGGGCTACGGGACCAGGTCCTTATCCAAGGCTTAATTAAAAATAACGCCTTTGATAAGTCTCTAATCCCGTAGCCCCATTGTGCATACTACTACTGAGGTGCATGCAAAATTTGATGAAAATCGGTCGAATAGTTTCTGAAGTATTGACTTTTAAGTGAGCATGGGGTCGGTCGGGGAAAAGCAAATGTCCAACTTTTTGTCGTTATTAAGTCTTAATTAATCTAATGAAGTCATCGAGAGTGTTCCCAATGCCGTTTTGCTATAGCGTAACCATCCGACAAGATACATGCAAAATCTCACGAAAATCCGTCAAACAGTTTAGGAAATAATCACTTTTTAGTGAGTATGGGGTCGGTCTGGCGAAAGGCTAACACTCCAACGTACTTGCTATATATTATCGTGGCGAGAGGTGTTATTACCTGAATGAAACGCAGGTCTCGGAAGTCATCACCTCGCTACCGTCTCGGGGGCTGCTTTGAGCGAGCGCCGTGGACGAGTATAAGTGTGTGTATCTCTAGGCTCGGCTATGATGATGATGCTGGCTGGCTGACTAGCGTAGCTACAGATGTCTGAAAGTGAATGAAACACATCTCTCGGCAGTTTCCTTCCCGGGTCGTCGTCACGGTATCACCGAGCGAGCGCAGTTCCACCGGGGCAACTCGCTGCCGTCTCAGTAGCATTGAGCGAGTGTTGTGGGCGAGTCGCAGTGTGTGTGTCTCGACTCGGCTATTTACCTACAGCTCGCTGAGAATGCTGGCTACGTTATCTTGATGTCCGCGAAACAGTTTTATTGTGAATCTCCTTCTATGATCTGTTTGGTTGTCGTAATGAAGGCTTATCGAGCCTGTTGCTTTCCTTGTCCGAATCTCTTGTTTCATTCTGTGATATTTTGCTATTTCTGATAGCACCAAACGAAACTCTTTCTCGGAGATTTTAGAGTCGGTGAGTGCGGTGGAATTATGATCGTCTATCGTGTTTAACTTCGCTTCGGGTAGAATTCTAATTTCGTCGTTTTTCAATGCTTACGTTGCAGTCTGCGAGACACGTACTTAAGGGTCAATCCCATCAACCCTACCACTCCGGCTGTTATTTCGATACCTGCCATGCCTAATCCCATGCTGACTGCGGCTCATCTCATACGGCTGTGATATTTTTTCTGTAATGCTGATCGTATATTGCGTTCACATTCTAGTTGTTGTTTGATCTCGCATATCTGTAGTAAACGAAACCCGTCTGCGGTTTCCAGTGTTTTTGCTACTTCGTCCACGACTCTGCGTACAGTCCCATTCTGTATATATACTCTTTTTTTATAAAACAGTATTTAATTGGTCCTCAGTCCTTATTTGATGAATATTCTTTAAGCTGATGATGTACAAGTTTTCGTATAAATAAATGATCTCGAGTTCAATAAAATCCTTTTGAAATACCATAATATCTAGGTTTGCGGTGGGGGATTTTCCTGGTTGTATACAAATACGACAACGTTTTTGTTGATGGCGATCATGCCAGCATAATTTTAACCCATGCAGAAGGATTATATCTACTCCGGGGGCATCTCCAAAAAATACTAGAACCTTGTATCAAACTGATCCACGAGTCTGGCAGATACGTATATTTTAGTATAAATGACGCTATTTTTATATCATTGGGGACTAACATGTTAGCCATTGGGGACTAACATGATTTCGCCAGCAGATTTTCCAGGACGTCTACCACGCTGTCTAATTCTGACACAACCTGCAATCCACGTTTTGCATCCCGGGTTTGCTCGACAGCATGTGGGCTACTCTTTGCCTCAACGTGCTGACGATCACGCTGCATCTTTGCGTAGGGACGAAAGCCACGAGAAGCGTTCCGTTGTTCACGACTTTCGTCAGGTAGTGATCTTTGTTGTCCGTGATAATGTGGGGAGAGTCGAGTGTGATTTTGCGATTCCTGTCGATTTGGGATGGTACAAATACCCATTTGTTGTCGTCGTTGAAGATGAGAGTGTACTGCGTGTTTCTGGAGATGGCCGTGGTCTCAACGTCGTCCAGGTGGAACAGCCTGCCACGGAAGGCTGGGGTTATCGTCCATTCGTACTCGTCATGCATATCAGGTCGTACAGAGTGTTGTTGACCGCTCCTTCCGTATCGACGAAATCGCCTAGGTTCTTGCCACCAGCAGCAGCAGTAGAGGGCAGCAGTTTAATGAGTTTGTAAATTTTGTTTTTCAGTTGCAAGGCGTACAGTTTGCCGTCGACTGTGGGTTCGTCGAATCCGAGTGTGTCCCTGAGGTTGGAGATCGCTATGTTGGCGCATTTTCTAACGCGTGTTCCTGGACCATGAGACTCAGTCATTACTGTATGTGCAGCGTCGCGCTGAGATATCCTATACTTACGGGATCGTGTTTAATGTCTAAGACCGATATTTTCAATTCCGTGATGTTGCCTCGGATTAATTTCTTGTACTGACGCGATGAAAACGATTTGGTTCTGCCGTTGTTGTACTGTTCCGTTTTCACCGGCACGGCTCTTGTGTGGAAGGTCGTTTGCCTTGAACGTTTCCGGTCGTGCTCAGCTGATGAATGCACAGTTTGCGATACGGAACGAGATCTAGTAATTTGGTGCTGGTCACGGTGGTTTCCGGTGGTATGTCATTCGACGTAAACCAAAGCGTTTAAGCCAATGGCTGACTGAGTCTTAAGTCGTTTTTTCCGTTTTTGGCTGACCCTTCCGTTTGAGTCGTTCATTTTGAGTTCGGCTCCCACGGGTTTGAAGATTTCTTCACTGAGCGAGCACTCGCTGTAGTAGCCATCCGTTATTTGGTTGCGGACGTTATTAACGAACAGCCTGTTGTTTTTGCCGTTGATGTTGGTCCATGGCGAGTAGTAGGTGAAGTCGCAGAGCATGACATCGAGCTGACCGGACGTGTTGTCGATCGCGTGCAGCAGTTAAACGGAATCCCTGCTCGTTATTCCCAGAAGCGTCACGCATCACGTATATATTGAAAAGTAGATATGTATACTAAGTGCTACCTATGTCACGCAACCGAGTATTGTGGTTGATGCAAAGGATGGCTTACACTTCATGGTTCAGTTCATCGACATGTTTAAAAATTACAGGTTTTCGGTCACAAATGTGAAAACGGTACACGCTTGGTTCCACAACCCGATGCAGTTCTGGCAGATTCAATTAAATTTCGCCGTGTGGTGCAAGACGACCAGGTGCAGCATGACGTTCAATGACACTCATCGTGATGCGCTGAGTCAGTCTGTATTCTCATTTCACGTGTACTACCAGATCAGACGTATCCTGAAAGAAATCAGCGCCCTGATTCCGCAGGACAAGGCGTGTAATGACATAAACTATCCATATGATCGACGTGCGTATGAACGCGTTTGCAGTGATTTCAAACTAGATCCGAAAACAATCGATTGGCGATTGCCGGGTCTGAACCAGGGTTCGGGCATTCCTATCATTCACAACATTTCTCTCGTGGAAGCCAGCAAACAGCTAGTGGAAGATTGGGGTTACAAGTCGTATCATTACGTCAAGACAAACGAGTGGAACGACGATTACATGGCGGCACGTCGATCGTCAAAAGACGATTGTGGTCCGGGGATCGTGGTCGGACTGTGCCTCATTTGGTTAAAAATTCCTTAGCCGCGATGTACACCAGACCCGCCACGGTGACGACGAAAGCCCACAGGTTTTGACCCTAGCCACGTGACCGTTTTCGACAAGAATCCTAACAACCAGGAATCGATGCTGCCCAAGATTCCAGGCAGCACTTCGTCGGCTTTGCCGGACAGTTTAGCCAGAGCTTCACCGCGAGACTTCAAATGTTTGTTTATCCAGTCTCTGACGCCGTCGCCTGATGATGATGATTGGCTTGTTGGTGCTTGTTTGGCTTGTCAGCGATACGACCAGGGTCGATATGATGAAGCCCAAAGCCGTGAGAATGCTGGCAATGGTTATTCCTTGTTCCTAGAACAGAATTCGGATCCTGTTGGCCAACGTGGTGTCCTCGTTCAAGAGGCTCGTTTTAAGGCTTCGTCTAGACCCCGAAGTTCCCTAATAGGCAATTCGAAACCAGGCAAGGGTTCGTTCAAGTACGTGACCAATATTTTTTCGATTTTGTCCAACTCTTCTTTGGCGCACTGGGGCATTTCTCTTGGATCGTCAGAAGCGCTAGCATCACCAAGTTCGGTCCTTATGTTTTGCAGATCTTGGACAACCTTCGGCGGAAGTCGTTCGCCACCGTAATCTCACAGGTTTAGTTCGTTGAGTATCAGTTGAATACTGCCACGGCGACTGGCTAGCGTTGACAGGGCGAGTGGTTTTCCTTTGTCTTCATTCATGAGATCGAAGTCCGGATAAGCTTTCAATCACAGCGTCCCTTCGTTGTCGATTCTGAACTTCAGATAGTCATGAGCCAATGGTTCGACGTAATTTTTATCGTGCTTTAAAGCATCGTAATACTCGTCCACAGCCTGCTTTAAAAGCTCGTTGCCCAATGTTTTCCCCATGAACGAGGTGTCCATGGCTGCTGCATCAACATCTTTCAGCTGGTGTACGTCGAAATTGTTCATGGGAATATCGTCCGCCATTATTTTTATTAAACTTATAATATGCATAGTTTCAATGTAAACAATGTATCAAACAAAATCTGTGTGGGGTACAGTTTCACACAAGACCACCTCGGCAATATAACAGCAGAAGAAAAAGCCATCGCCAAGGTGTACAGGAATCGGTTTTTCATACCGCTCGACTGCTCGAGGGGCACATGCCATTTTACCAGGCCGCGCTGGGTGACAGGCAAAGTTATCTTCACGCCAGATAGCACCGAGGCCAGCTACGTCGTCGACAACATCTCGCTGGGGTTCGACATGGTCACAAGCATGGAACTGGCCCGGCAGATTGGCACCCAGTACTCGGGAAAGCTGTCCATCCTGTATGACCGCGTGTTGCGGCACCGGACGATCATCATGGACAAGAGCGACACGTTGTGGAACATCAACCTGAACGTGCTGGCTTGATTGATGAAAGGCATCTTGATCATTCCTGTGGCAGAATACGAGCCGTTTCAGAGAAAAAGCAAACTTACATGGAATCCCGAGATCACGAAAGTGGAAGTGACCATCGAGGGTGTGCCCAACCAACTGTTCAGCCAAGGCATGCGAGCTTACCAGCAATGGGACGACATAAGAAAACTACCGGCCATCAAGCGACACTCGTCTGAAGTCAAAGACGTCGTCAAAGACCTGGGTTTCACCTACGTGATGCTCCATAAGTACCTGGATAAGCATTACGCACTGAGGCTGGACATGCGATACACAGACGAGGACAGGCTCCATATACTTGCGATCCCCACTGCGCCATCTTGTGCGGTCAGACGGCATTCACGCATCGACAACGGCAGCGAGGGGATCTACATCCAAATCACCCAGAAAGCTCAAAATCCGGCAGGCAAGTTACATCTATATTTGTACGTGATTATGGACGCGCAACTCAATATAGAATATCGAAGGTTCATGCAAGCCATGTATTGATTAACATTGCGATCCCCACTGCGCCATCTTGTGCGGTCAGACGGCATTCATGCTGGACATGCTGCAAGGATATTATCGCGACGTGTTCAACCACATCGTCATTCTCTGCCAGACTTTACGTGGGAACAAGACGTACATGAGAGACCGTGGGTGATGACGGACCCGGACGTGCACAAAATAGGAGTACATGGACGATTGGTCTAAGTTCGACAAGACATGTTTACCTCCAATCGACCGCTTTTACAGCAACTTGACCAATTCCAATATCTCTCAGGACGATTATGCGCACGCTCTCAGTTCGAATTGGACTATCCCGCAGAACTACACAAATCAAACAACAGTCTGCTCAAGAAACGGCAGATAATATTTTCATGTTTAAAGCACCACATATATACCTTCACACTTACATCAAATTCATATGGTCGTATTTTCAGCCCAACATATTTTACGTCACTGGATGTTCCGTGGGAGATCTGAAAAAGCATTTCATTAAATTTTATATCAAAACACGCCTCGACACCAAACACCTTCCTTTGGGAAGTCTATGTACTTCGCCATTCCAAAGTCCGAAGCTTTTCCATGACATATTATTTGTATCAAACCGGATATCGTTCACTTAGAATCGTGATTGCTTTTACAATCTTTAGGTAGTTGTAATGTTGCATATATTATGTTTCGCATACAGAGCATTTACTGTTCATGCAATTACCTCTTTAAGATATGACTGTGTGTAGAGTAAGTCATCCGAACCGTCATGTTGTGTGTTTTCAGGACTGAGCCTCAACATCGGCAACATGACTATTAAAAATGGAATTCCATCAAGACAGTCTGCTCAGGAAACGACAGGTAATATTTTCATGTTTAAAGCACCATATATAAATGTTGACACTTCAAATCTTTAGGAATAGCATTTGATCAAAATGAATTTTGTAAGAAAACACGCCTCGACACCAAATTCACTTTCATTGGAAAATCAATCTACTTCGCCATTCCAAAATCCCAAGCTTTTCCATGACATATTATTTATATCAAACCGGATATCGATAACTTAGAATCGTGATTTCTTATAAAGTATTTAGGTAGTTGTCATGTTGCATATATTATGCTACGCTTAAAGAACATTCATTGTTCTAGAAATTACCTCTGTAAGATATGACTGTGTGTAGAGTAAGTCATCCGAACTGTCATGTTGTATGTTTTCAGGACTGAGCCTCAACATCGGCAACATAACTATTAAAAATGGAATTCCATCAAGACAGTCTGCTCAGGAAACGGCAGGTAATATTTTCATGTTTAAAGCACCATATATAAATGTTGACACTTACTTCAAATCTTTAGGAATAGCATTTGATCAAAATGAATTTTGTAAGAAAACACGCCTCGACACCATACATACTTTCATTTTGAAGTCAATATACTGCCCCATTCCAAAGTTCCGAGCTTTTCCATGACATATTATTTGCATCAAACCGGATATCAATCACTTAGAATCGTGATTTCTTATAAAATCTTTAGGTAGTTGTCATGTTGCATATATTACTAGGTATAAAGAACACTCACTGTTCATGCAATTACCTCTTTAAGATATGACTGTGTAGAGTAAGTTTATCCGAACCGCCATGTTGTGTGTTTTCAGGACTGAGCCTCAACATCGGCAACATGACTATTAAAAATGGAATTCCATCAAGACAGTCTGCTCAGGAAACGACAGGTAATATTTTCATGTTTAAAGCACCATATATAAATGTTGACACTTCAAATCTTTAGGAATAGCATTTGATCAAAATGAATTTTGTAAGAAAACACGCCTCGACACCAAATTCACTTTCATTGGAAAATCAATCTACTTCGCCATTCCAAAATCCCAAGCTTTTCCATGACATATTATTTATATCAAACCGGATATCGATAACTTAGAATCGTGATTTCTTATAAAGTATTTAGGTAGTTGTCATGTTGCATATATTATGCTACGCTTAAAGAACATTCATTGTTCAAGAAATTACCTCTGTAAGATATGACTGTGTGTAGAGTAAGTCATCCGAACTGTCATGTTGTATGTTTTCAGGACTGAGCCTCAACATCGGCAACATAACTATTAAAAATGGAATTCCATCAAGACAGTCTGCTCAGGAAACGGCAGGTAATATTTTCATGTTTAAAGCACCATATATAAATGTTGACACTTACTTCAAATCTTTAGGAATAGCATTTGATCAAAATGAATTTTGTAAGAAAACACGCCTCGACACCATACATACTTTCATTTTGAAGTCAATATACTGCCCCATTCCAAAGTTCCGAGCTTTTCCATGACATATTATTTGCATCAAACCGGATATCAATCACTTAGAATCGTGATTTCTTATAAAATCTTTAGGTAGTTGTCATGTTGCATATATTACTAGGTATAAAGAACACTCACTGTTCATGCAATTACCTCTTTAAGATATGACTGTGTGTAGAGTAAGTCATCCGAACCGTCATGTTGTGTGTTTTCAGGACTGAGCCTCAACATCGGCAACATGACTATTAAAAATGGAATTCCATCAAGACAGTCTGCTCAGGAAACGACAGGTAATATTTTCATGTTTAAAGCACCATATATAAATGTTGACACTTCAAATCTTTAGGAATAGCATTTGATCAAAATGAATTTTGTAAGAAAACACGCCTCGACACCAAATTCACTTTCATTGGAAAATCAATCTACTTCGCCATTCCAAAATCCCAAGCTTTTCCATGACATATTATTTATATCAAACCGGATATCGATAACTTAGAATCGTGATTTCTTATAAAGTATTTAGGTAGTTGTCATGTTGCATATATTATGCTACGCTTAAAGAACATTCATTGTTCAAGAAATTACCTCTGTAAGATATGACTGTGTGTAGAGTAAGTCATCCGAACTGTCATGTTGTATGTTTTCAGGACTGAGCCTCAACATCGGCAACATAACTATTAAAAATGGAATTCCATCAAGACAGTCTGCTCAGGAAACGGCAGGTAATATTTTCATGTTTAAAGCACCATATATAAATGTTGACACTTACTTCAAATCTTTAGGAATAGCATTTGATCAAAATGAATTTTGTAAGAAAACACGCCTCGACACCATACATACTTTCATTTTGAAGTCAATATACTGCCCCATTCCAAAGTTCCGAGCTTTTCCATGACATATTATTTGCATCAAACCGGATATCAATCACTTAGAATCGTGATTTCTTATAAAATCTTTAGGTAGTTGTCATGTTGCATATATTACTAGGTATAAAGAACACTCACTGTTCATGCAATTACCTCTTTAAGATATGACTGTGTGTTGAGTAAGTCATCCGAACTGCCATGTTGTATGTTTTCAGGACTGAGCCTCAACATCGGCAACATGACTATTAAAAATGGAATTCCATCAAGACAGTCTGCTCAGGAAACGACAGGTAATATTTTCATGTTTAAAGCACCATATATAAATGTTGACACTTACTTCAAATCTTTAGGAATAGCATTTGATCAAAATGAATTTTGTAAGAAAACACGCCTCGACACCATACTTACTTTCATTTTGAAGTCAATATACTGCCCCATTCCAAAGTTCCGAGCTTTTCCATGACATATTATTTGCATCAAACCGGTTATCAATCACTTAGAATCGTGATTTCTTATAAAATCTTTAGGTAGTTGTCATGTTGCATATATTACTAGGTATAAAGAACACTCACTGTTCATGCAATTACCTCTATAAGATATGAATGTGTGTTGAGTAAGTCATCTGAACCGTCATGTTGTGTGTTTTCAGGACTGAGCCTCAACATCGGCAACATGACTATTAAAAATGGAATTCCATCAAGACAGTCTGCTCAGGAAACGACAGGTAATATTTTCATGTTTAAAGCACCATATATAAATGTTGACACTTACTTCAAATCTTTAGGAATAGCATTTGATCAAAATGAATTTTGTAAGAAAACACGCCTCGACACCAAATTCACTTCCATTGGAAAATCAATCTACTTCGCCATTCCAAAATCCCAAGCTTTTCCATGACATATTATTTATATCAAACCGGATATCGATAACTTAGAATCGTGATTTCTTTTAGAATCTTTAGGTAGTTGTCATGTTGCATATATTATGCTACGCTTAAAGAACATTCATTGTTCATGCAATTACCTCTTTAAGATATGACTGTGTGTTGAGTAAGTCATCTGAACCGTCATGTTGTGTGTTTTCAGGAATGAGCCTCAACATCGGCAACATGACTATTAAAAATGGAATTCCATCAAGACAGTCTGCTCAGGAAACGACAGGTAATATTTTCATGTTTAAAGCACCATATATAAATGTTGACACTTACTTCAAATCTTTAGGAATAGCATTTGATCAAAATGAATTTTGTAAGAAAACACGCCTCGACACCAAATTCACTTCCATTGGAAAATCAATCTACTTCGCCATTCCAAAATCCCAAGCTTTTCCATGACATATTATTTATATCAAACCGGATATCGATAACTTAGAATCGTGATTTCGTATAAAGTCTTTAGGTAGTTGTCATGTTGCATATATTATGCTACGCTTAAAGAACATTCATTGTTCTAGAAATTACCTCTGTAAGATATGACTGTGTGTAGAGTAAGTCATCTGAACCGTCATGTTGTGTGTTTTCAGGACTGAGCCTCAACATCGGCAACATGACTGTTAAAAATGGAATTCCATCAAGACAGTCTGCTCAGGAAACGACAGGTAATATTTTCATGTTCAAAGCACCATATATAAATGTTGACACTTAATTCAAATCTTTAGGAATAGCATTTGATCAAAATGAATTTTGTAAGAAAACACGCCTCGACACCATACTTACTTTCATTTTGAAGTCAATATACTGCCCCATTCCAAAGTTCCGAGCTTTTCCATGACACATAATTTGCATCAAACCGGATATCAATCACTTAGAATCGTGATTTCTTATAAAATCTTTAGGTAGTTGTCACGTTGCATATATTACTAGGTATAAAGAACACTCACTGTTCATGCAATTACCTCTATAAGATATGAATGTGTGTTGAGTAAGTCATCCGAACTGTCATGTTGTATGTTTTCAGGACTGAGCCTCAACATCGGCAACATAACTATTAAAAACTGAATTCCATCAAGACAGTCTGCTCAAGAAACGGCAGATAATATTTTCATGTTTAGAGCACCAGATATATACCTTGACACTTACATCAAATTCATATGGTCGTATTTTCAGCTCAACATACTTTACGTCACTGGATGTTCCGTGGGAGATCTGGAAAAGCATTTGATTAAATTTTATAACAAAACACGCCTCGACACCAAACACCTACCTTTAGGAAGTCTATGTTCTTCGCCATTCCAAAGTCCCAAGCTTTTCCATGACATATTATTTGTATCAAACCAGATATCATTCACTTAGAATCGTGATTTCTTTTAGAATCTTTAGGTAGTTGTCATGTTGCATATATTATGCTACGCTTAAAGAACATTCATTGTTCATGCAATTACCTCTTTAAGATATGACTGTGTGTAGAGTAAGTCATCTGAACCGTCATGTTGTGTGTTTTCAGGACTGAGCCTCAACATCGGCAACATGACTATTAAAAATGGAATTCCATCAAGACAGTCTGCTCAGGAAACGACAGGTAATATTTTCATGTTTAAAGCACCATATATAAATGTTGACACTTACTTCAAATCTTTAGGAATAGCATTTGATCAAAATGAATTTTGTAAGAAAACACGCCTCGACACCAAATTCACTTCCATTGGAAAATCAATCTACTTCGCCATTCCAAATCCCAAGCTTTTCCATGACATAATATTTATATCAAACCGGATATCGATAACTTAGAATCGTGATTTCGTATAAAGTCTTTAGGTAGTTGTCATGTTGCATATATTATGCTACGCTTAAAGAACATTCATTGTTCAAGAAATTACCTCTGTAAGATATGACTGTGTGTAGAGTAAGTCATCTGAACTGTCATGTTGTGTGTTTTCAGGACTGAGCCTCAACATCGGCAACATGACTGTTAAAAATGGAATTCCATCAAGACAGTCTGCTCAGGAAACGACAGGTTATATTTTCATGTTCAAAGCACCATATATAAATGTTGACACTTACTTCAAATCTTTAGGAATAGCATTTGATCAAAATGAATTTTGTAAGAAAACACGCCTCGACACCATACTTACTTTCATTTTGAAGTCAATATACTGCCCCATTCCAAAGTTCCGAGCTTTTCCATGACACATAATTTGCATCAAACCGGATATCAATCACTTAGAATCGTGATTTCTTATAAAATCTTTAGGTAGTTGTCATGTTGCATATATTACTAGGTATAAAGAACACTCACTGTTCATGCAATTACCTCTATAAGATATGACTGTGTGTTGAGTAAGTCATCCGAACTGTCATGTTGTATGTTTTCAGGACTGAGCCTTAACATCGGCAACATAACTATTAAAAACTGAATTCCATCAAGACAGTCTGCTCAAGAAACGGCAGACAATATTTTCATGTTTAGAGCACCAGATATATACCTTGACACTTACATCAAATTCATATGGTCGTATTTTCAGCTCAACATATTTTACGTCACTGGATGTTCCGTGGGAGATCTGGAAAAGCATTTGATTAAATTTTATAACAAAACACGCCTCGACACCAAACACCTACCTTTGGGAAGTCTATGTACTTCGCCATTCCAAAGTCCCAAGCTTTTCCATGACATATTATTTGTATCAAACCGGATAACATTCACTTAGAATCGTGATTTCTTTTAGAATCTTTAGGTAGTTGTCATGTTGCATATATTATGCTACGCTTAAAGAACATTCATTGTTCATGAAATTACCTCTGTAAGATATGACTGTTTTGAATAAGTCATCCGAACTGTCATGTTGTGTGTTTTCAGGACTGAGCCTCAACATCGGCAACATGACTATTAAAAATGGAATTCCATCAAGACAGTCTGCTCAGGAAACGACAGGTAATATTTTCATGTTTAAAGCACCATATATAAATGTTGACACTTACCTCAAATCTATAGGAATAGCATTTGATCAAAATGAATTTTGTAAGAAAACACGCCTCGACACCAAATCACTTACATTGTGAAGTCAATATACTGCCCCATTCCAAAGTTCCGAGATTTTCCATGACATATTATTTGTATCAAACTGGATATCGAAGACTTAGAATCCTGTTTTTTTTATAAAATCTTTACGTAGTAGTCATATTGCATATCTTATGCTACGCATAAAGAACATTCATTGTTCATGAAATTACCTCTATAAGATATGTCTGTGTGTAGAGTAAGTCATCCGAACTGTCGTGTTGTATGATCTCAGGACTGAGCCTCAACATCGGCAACATGACTATTAAAAATGGAATTCCATCAAGACAGTCAGCTCAGGAAAAGGCAGGTAATATTTTCATGTTTAAAGCACCACATATTGCCGCTTTCTTCAGATCCATACGGTCGTATTTTCAGCCGAATATATGTTACTTCACTGGATGCTCCGAGGGAGATCTGGAACAGCATATGATTAAAATGGATTTTTTTGAAGGAAACACTCCTCGACATCAAACACACTTTAATTTGGAAGTCAATGTAATTCGCCATTCCAAAGTCCCAAGCTTTACCATGACATATTATCTGTATGTTCTCAGGACTGTGGCTAATTATCAAGAACGTAACTTTTGAAAAGGAGATTCTATTAAGACAGTGTGCCGAAGAAACGACATGTAATATTTTCATGTTTAAAGCACCATATATCAATCTTGTGAATTACTTTAAATCTATGTTCAGACCAAGTATAATCAATAGCTTTTCAGTACTAGAAACTGCCCGTGTATTTTACAAATGATGTTTTCGGCGTCTACCTCAAATGGCTTGAGCGACGTGGTATATATTGATATGGTACTTTTGCATCCGTTCTTTCAGCTTATTACGATGGCTTTGAGTTAGAACACTAATTCTTTAGTTTTTGTCAAGGATCAAGTATCAAGGCAATATGTAACGACTCTAAAGCTCAGCTACAGAAGCATGTCATTTCGATTGTTTCACCGAATCCCGTTTCCCAAATGGAAACATACAATATTCACTTTGGTATTAATAATAATAATATTTGATTTATAGAGCGCCTATTTCCACAAGATATTGCTCAAAGGCGCTATGAAGAGAAAAGATTGTGGACAATGTCTATGGAAAAGAGAATTTGAACAGATGAGTTTTGAGGGCATTTTGAAGCATCAGCAGATTCTATTGTTCCTCAAAGATGTTAAAGCATCCCTATTGTTAGAATAAAGGGAAGATAACATATGACAAGGTACTTGCATTGCCTCAAATATTTTGCAGCTGTTGCTGGTCCAGGGCCATACAAGATGGATGCGGTTCCAAGAGGTAAAGAGCATTTGCGACAGAATAGCGTTATCCTGAATCATGTTATTTGGTCCTAAGCCTGAGTGCGACCTCAATTCAACTTACAGTGATGTGAAATTGTCAATGTATAGTTTCCTTCAGCTGTGAAGGTATACTTCCAGATATATGGTCGTATTTTCAGCTCAGATATATACTACGTCACTGGATGTTCCGTGGGAGAATTGGAAAAGCATTTGATTAAATTTTATAACAAAACACGCCTCGATATTAAAACACTACCTTTGGGAAGTCTGGAATGTACTTCGCCATTCCAAAGTCCCAAGCTTTTCCATGACATATTATTTGTATCAAACCGGATAACATTCACTTAGAATCGTGATTTCTTTTAGAATCTTTAGGTAGTTGTCATGTTGCATATATTATGCTACGCTTAAAGAACATTCATTGTTCATGAAATTACCTCTGTAAGATATGACTGTTTTGAATAAGTCATCCGAACTGTCATGTTGTGTGTTTTCAGGACTGAGCCTCAACATCGGCAACATGACTATTAAAATGGAATTCCATCAAGACAGTCTGCTCAGGAAACGACAGGTAATATTTTCATGTTTAAAGCACCATATATAAATGTTGACACTTACCTCAAATCTATAGGAATAGCATTTGATCAAAATGAATTTTGTAAGAAAAAAAGCCTTCGACACCAAATCACTTACATTGTGAAGTCAATATACCGCCCCATTCCAAAGTTCCGAGATTTTCCATGACATATTATTTGTATCAAACTGGATATCGAAGACTTAGAATCCTGTTTTTTATAAAATCTTTACGTAGTAGTCATATTGCATATCTTATGCTACGCATAAAGAACATTCATTGTTCATGAAATTACCTCTATAAGATATGTCTGTGTGTAGAGTAAGTCATCCGAACTGTCGTGTTGTATGATCTCAGGACTGAGCCTCAACATCGGCAACATGACTATTAAAAATGGAATTCCATCAAGACAGTCAGCTCAGGAAAAGGCAGGTAATATTTTCATGTTTTAAAAGCACCACATATTGCCGCTTTCTTCAGATCCATACGGTCGTATTTTCAGCCGAATATATGTTACTTCACTGGATGCTCCGAGGGAGATCTGGAACAGCATATGATTAAATGGATTTTTGAAGGAAACACCTCGACATCAAACACACTTTAAATTTGGAAGTCAATGTAATTCGCCATTCCAAAGTCCCAAGCTTTACCATGACATATTATCTGTATGTTCTCAGGACTGTGGCTAATTATCAAGAACGTAACTTTTGAAAAGGAGATTCTATTAAGACAGTGTGCCGAAGAAACGACATGTAATATTTTCATGTTTAAAGCACCATATATCAATCTTGTGAATTACTTTAAATCTATGTTCAGACCAAGTATAATCAATAGCTTTTCAGTACTAGAAACTGCCCGTGTATTTTACAAATGATGTTTTCGGCGTCTACCTCAAATGGCTTGAGCGACGTGGTATATATTGATATGGTACTTTTGCATCCGTTCTTTCAGCTTATTACGATGGCTTTGAGTTAGAACACTAATTCTTTAGTTTTTGTCAAGGATCAAGTATCAAGGCAATATGTAACGACTCTAAGCTCAGCTACAGAAGCATGTCATTTCGATTGTTTCACCGAATCCCGTTTCCCAAATGAAACATACAATATTCACTTTGGTATTAATAATAATAATATTTGATTTATAGAGCGCCTATTTCCACAAGATATTGCTCAAAGGCGCTATGAAGAGAAAAGATTGTAGACAATGTCTATGGAAAAGAGAATTTGAACAGATGAGTTTTGAGGGCATTTTGAAAGCATCAGCAGATTCTATTGTTCCTCAAAGATGTTAAAGCATCCCTATTGTTAGAATAAAGGGAAGATAACATATGACAAGGTACTTGCATTGCCTCCAAATATTTTGCAGCTGTTGCTGGTCCAGGGCCATACAAGATGGATGCGGTTCCAAGAGGTAAAGAGCATTTGCGACAGAATAGCGTTATCCTGAATCATGTTATTTGGTCCTAAGCCTGAGTGCGACCTCAATTCAACTTACAGTGATGTGAAATTGTCAATGTATAGTTTCCTTCAGCTGTGAAGGTATACTTCCAGATATATGATCGTATTTTCAGCCAGATATATACTACTATACTGGATGTTCAGTGGGAAATTCGAATAACATTCAAATGAACTTTGTAACAAAACACGCCTCGATATTAACCACACTTCCATTGGGAAGTCTGGAATGTAATTCACCATTCCAAAGTCCCAAGCTTTACCATGACATATTATCTGTATGTTCTCAGGACTGTATTAATTATCAAGAACGTAACTTTTGAAAAGGAGATTCTATTAAGACAGTGTGCCAAGAAACGACATGTAATATTTTCATGTTTAAAGCACCATATATCAATCTTGTGAATTACTTTAAATCTATGTTCAGACCAAGTATAATCCGTAGCTTTTCAGTACTAGAAACTGCCCGTGTATTTTACAAATGATGTTTTCGGCGTCTACCTCAACTGGCTTGAGCGACGTGGTATATATTGATATGGTACTTTTGCATCCGTTCTTTCAGCTTATTACGATGGCTTTGAGTTAGAACACTAATTCTTTAGTTTTTGTCAAGGATCAAGTATCAAGGCAATATGTAACGACTCTAAGCTCAGCTACAGAAGCATGTCATTTCGATTGTTTCACCGAATCCCGTTTCCCAAATGAAACATAGAATATTCACTTTGGTATTAATAATAATAATAATTGATTGATAGAGCGCCTATTTCCACAAGATATTGCTCAAAGGCGCTATGAAGAGAAAGATTGTAGACAATGTCTATGGAAAAGAGAGTTTGAACAGATGAGTTTTGAGGGCAGTTTTGAAAGCATCAGCAGATTCTATTGTTCCTTAAAGATGTTAAAGCATCCCTATTGTTAGAATAAAGGGAAGATAACATATGACAAGCTACTTGCAATGCCTTCAAATATATTGCAGCTGCTGCTGGTCCAGGGCGATACAAGAGGGTTGCGGTTCCAAGAGGTAAAGAGCATTTGCGACAGAATAGCGTTATCCTGAATCATATTATTTGGTCCTAAGCCTGAGTGCGACCTCAATTCAACTTACAGTGATGTGAAATTGTCAATGTATAGTTTCCTTCAGCTGTGAAGGTATACTTCCAGATATATGATCGTATTTTCAGCCAGATATATACTACTATACTGGATGTTCAGTGGGAAATTTCGAATAACATTCAAATGAACTTTGTAACAAAACACGCCTCGATATTAACCACACTTCCATTGGGAAGTCTGGAATGTAATTCACCGTTCCAAAGTCCCAAGCTTTACCATGACATATTATCTGTATGTTCTCAGGACTGCGGCTAATTATCAAGAACGTAACTTTTGAAAAGGAGATTCTATTAAGACAGTGTGCCGAAGAAACGACATGTAATATTTTCATGTTTAAAGCACCATATATCAATCTTGTGAATTACTTTAAATCTATGTTCAGACCAAGTATAATCAATAGCTTTTCAGTACTAGAAACTGCCCGTGTATTTTACAAATAATGTTTTCGGCGTCTACCTCAACTGGCTTGAGCGACGTGGTATATATTGATATGGTACTTTTGCATCCGTTCTTTCAGCTTATTACGATGGCTTTGAGTTAGAACACTAATTCTTTAGTTTTTGTCAAGGATCAAGTATCAAGGCAATATGTAACGACTCTAAGCTCAGCTACAGAAGCATGTCATTTCGATTGTTTCACCGAATCCCGTTTCCCAAATGAAACATAGAATATTCACTTTGGTATTAATAATAATAATATTTGATTTATAGAGCGCCTATTTCCACAAGATATTGCTCAATGGCGCTATGAAGAGAAAAGATTGTAGACAATGCCTATGGAAAAAGAGAGAGTTTGAACAGATGAGTTTTGAGGGCAGTTTTGAAAGCATCAGCAGATTCTATTGTTCCTTAAAAATGTTAAAAGCAGCCCTACTGTTCGAACAAACGGAAGATAACATATGACAAGCTACTTGCATTGCCTCCAAATATATTGCAGCTGTTGCTGGTCCAGGGCCATACAAGATGGATGCGGTTCCAAGAGGTAAAGAGCATTTGCGACAGAATAGCGTTATCCTGAATCATGTTATTTGGTCCTAAGCCTGAGTGCGACCTCAATTCAACTTACAGTGATGTGAAATTGTCAATGTATAGTTTCCTTCAGCTGTGAAGGTATACTTCCAGATATATGATCGTATTTTCAGCCAGATATATACTACTATACTGGATGTTCAGTGGGAAATTTCGAATAACATTCAAATGAACTTTGTAACAAAACACGCCTCGATATTAACCACACTTCCATTGGGAAGTCTGGAATGTAATTCACCATTCCAAAGTCCCAAGCTTTACCATGACATATTATCTGTATGTTCTCAGGACTGTGGCTAATTATCAAGAACGTAACTTTTGAAAAGGAGATTCTATTAAGACAGTGTGCCGAAGAAACGACATGTAATATTTTCATGTTTAAAGCACCATATATCAATCTTGTGAATTACTTTAAATCTATGTTCAGACCAAGTATAATCCGTAGCTTTTCAGTACTAGAAACTGCCCGTGTATTTTACAAATGATGTTTTCGGCGTCTACCTCAACTGGCTTGAGCGACGTGGTATATATTGATATGGTACTTTTGCATCCGTTCTTTCAGCTTATTACGATGGCTTTGAGTTAGAACACTAATTCTTTAGTTTTTGTCAAGGATCAAGTATCAAGGCAATATGTAACGACTCTAAGCTCAGCTACAGAAGCATGTCATTTCGATTGTTTCACCGAATCCCGTTTCCCAAATGAAACATACAATATTCACTTTGGTATTAATAATAATAATATTTGATTGATAGAGCGCCTATTTCCACAAGATATTGCTCAATGGCGCTATGAAGAGAAAAGATTGTAGACAATGTCTATGGAAAAGAGAGTTTGAACAGATGAGTTTTGAGGGCAGTTTTGAAAGCATCAGCAGATTCTATTGTTCCTTAAAAATGTTAAAGCAGCCCTATTGTTAGAATAAAGGGAAGATAACATATGACAAGCTACTTGCAATGCCTTCAAATATATTGCAGCTGCTGCTGGTCCAGGGCGATACAAGAGGGTTGCGGTTCCAAGAGGTAAAGAGCATTTGCGACAGAATAGCGTTATCCTGAATCATATTATTTGGTCCTAAGCCTGAGTGCGACCTCAATTCAACTTACAGTGATGTGAAATTGGCAATGTATAGTTTCCTTCAGCTGCGAAGATATACTTCCAGATATATGATCGTATTTTCAGCCAGATATATATACTACTATACTGGATGTTCAGTGGGAAATTTCGAATAACATTCAAATGAACTTTGTAACAAAACACGCCTCGATATTAACCACACTTCCATTGGGAAGTCTGGAATGTAATTCACCATTCCAAAGTCCCAAGCTTTACCATGACATATTATCTGTATGTTCTCAGGACTGTGGCTAATTATCAAGAACGTAACTTTTGAAAAGGAGATTCTATTAAGACAGTGTGCCGAAGAAACGACATGTAATATTTTCATGTTTAAAGCACCATATATCAATCTTGTGAATTACTTTAAATCTATGTTCAGACCAAGTATAATCCGTAGCTTTTCAGTACTAGAAACTGCCCGTGTATTTTACAAATGATGTTTTCGGCGCCTACCTCAACTGGCTTGAGCGACGTCGGTATATATTGATATGGTACTTTTGCATCCGTTCTTTCAGCTTATTACGATGGCTTTAAGTTAGAACACTAATTCTTTAGTTTTTGTCAAGATCAAGTATCAAGGCAATATGTAACGACTCTAAGCTCAGCTACAGAAGCATGTCATTTCGATTGTTTCACCGAATCCGTTTCCCAAATGAAACATACAATATTCACTTTGGTATTAATAATAATAATAATTGATTGATAGAGCGCCTATTTCCACAAGATATTGCTCAAAGGCGCTATGAAGAGAAAAGATTGTAGACAATGTCTATGGAAAAGAGAGTTTGAACAGATGAGTTTTGAGGGCAGTTTTGAAAGCATCAGCAGATTCTATTGTTCCTCAAAGATGTTAAAGCATCCCTATTGTTAGAATAAAGGGAAGATAACATATGACAAGCTACTTGCATTGCCTCCAAATATTTTGCAGCTGTTGCTGGTCCAGGGCCATACAAGATGGATGCGGTTCCAAGAGGTAAAGAGCATTTGCGACAGAATAGCGTTATCCTGAATCATGTTATTTGGTCCTAAGCCTGAGTGCGACCTCAATTCAACTTACAGTGATGTGAAATTGTCAATGTATAGTTTCCTTCAGCTGTGAAGGTATACTTCCAGATATATGATCGTATTTTCAGCCAGATATATACTACTATACTGGATGTTCAGTGGGAAATTTCGAATAACATTCAAATGAACTTTGTAACAAAACACGCCTCGATATTAACCACACTTCCATTGGGAAGTCTGGAATGTAATTCACCATTCCAAAGTCCCAAGCTTTACCATGACATATTATCTGTATGTTCTCAGGACTGTGGCTAATTATCAAGAACGTAACTTTTGAAAAGGAGATTCTATTAAGACAGTGTGCCGAAGAAACGACATGTAATATTTTCATGTTTAAAGCACCATATATCAGTCTTGTGAATTACTTTAAATCTATGTTCAGACCAAGTATAATCCGTAGCTTTTCAGTACTAGAAACTGCCCGTGTATTTTACAAATGATGTTTTCGGCGTCTACCTCAACTGGCTTGAGCGACGTGGTATATATTGATATGGTACTTTTGCATCCGTTCTTTCAGCTTATTACGATGGCTTTGAGTTAGAACACTAATTCTTTAGTTTTGTCAAGGATCAAGTATCAAGGCAATATGTAACGACTCTAAGCTCAGCTACAGAAGCATGTCATTTCGATT